TTTTACCTGCCACACTGCCCTTCGTTAGATTTCCCAAGTACCGTTTTTGTTCTCATGAATAAGCTACTAGCACTGCTGAGGAACAAGTAGGCTTGAGCAGGGCAACTAGAAGTAGGTGAGTCCCAGGGACACAATTTTTGTCAGTGACACTTTCTTCTGATACCAGTAAAAGAGGTGAGTCATACCACATTATAGCATCACTATTTTGTGAATGGGAAAATTGAGGTTCAAAGGGAAAAAATAATCAACTTAAGCCTACAGATTACGTCTCCAGCTTATCTGTCCATCCCTCATTCCAGTCTTACCATTTCCCTGAATTATTCTTCTCTGTTTAGTTTGCCTAGTAAACCCCATTTCTTCTGTTTGTTTAAACTACAGTTTCTCAGCCTCAGTGTTACTGACATGTGGGGCTGGACAATTCTTTATGGTGAGGGACAGCCCTGTCCCTTGTAGGATGTTTAACACTATCCCTGGCCTCTGCCCACGAGATGCCAGTGGCACCTCTCTCCTCCTCCAAATTGTGACAATCAAAATTGTCCTTGGACACTGCAGAATGTCCCCTGGGGGCCAAGATCTTCCCCATTGAGATCACTGCTCTAAAGTCAGGTCAAATACCACTCCAGTCTATACCTGCTTTATTCCCACATGTCCGCTACTGACTTCCAGCATAACAGCTACAGCACTGTTACCTGTCTGTATCTCCACATTACACTGTATGGTCCTTGAAGGCTCTTTGACTCATTTCTGCATCTCCCTGTTTATTGACTAAATGAATTTTAAAATTGTTCGTGAAGCCACGTGTGGTGGCTTGTGCCTGTAGTCCTAGCTACCTGGGAGACTGAGGCAGGAGGATTGCTTGAGCTTGAGCCCAGGAGTTCATGGCTGCAGTGAGCTATGATCATGCCACTGCACTCCAACCTGGGTGACAGTGCGAGACTCTGTCTCAAAAAAAAAAAAAAAAGAAAAACTCTTAAATGTTTTGGGAGAGAATGAAGAGTAAATTTCTATACAATGTTTTTGTTTCCCTGATGGAATCAAAGTTGAATCAATCTTGCAGAAAATGCTGTGTACACTCTTCTCAGTTCTAATTTCCTCTAATGTTGTCATCTTAAATTATTGTGTTACAGCCAGGCACGGTGGCTCATGCCTGTAATTCCAGCACTTTGGGAGGCCAAGGTGGGCAGATCACAAGGTCAACCTGGCCAACATGGTGAAACCCTGTCTCTACTAAAAATGCAAAAATTAGCTGGGCGTGGTGGTGAGCGCCTGTAGTCCGGGAGGTGGAAGTTGCAGTGAGCCGAGATCGTGCCACTGCACTCCAGCCTGGGTAACAAAGCGAGACTCCATCTCAAAAAAAAAAAAAAAAAAATTGTGTTACATTCGTCATAACCAAGAAAAGATCTTAAAAAAATAAAAGAAAAGAAAACAACTTGAATGCATGGGACTTCATTATTCTCCAGAAATGGATGAAGTCCTTTTGGTTTGCTAGTACTGTTGATCCCGTATTTCCAATTTTATTAGTTATTTCTAAAGAAAGACATCTACAAACCGTTCAAATAACATTGAGACGCTGAGTATGTGGGCAGGAAATCCTCTTGGTCATGTTGACGAGTGTTTCCTTTGGTCCTGTGGCTGCCCACCCCTTTCTGGAAAAAAAGTTGCAAAACTTCCTGAAGTTCACTTGTGTGCACTTGGGTTCTAAGAAATTCAATACTTCTTTGGCACCTACAAAATGCTGCAGTTCATTTGCCCATTCAATTAAAATGACACTAAAGGGGCATGACAACAAAAGGAAAAGATTCATTCAAAAAATGTGAAGATATTGCATGGCTCTTTTTCACTTGGCAGTGACCTGGCTCTGCATTTGGTTTTGCTTTTTTTTTTTTTTTTTAAAGAAAGCACAAACTCTCCATTGTTGGTAACTATTCTTTATGCTGAGGTTCAAAGGTAGCAAGAGAAGCAAGCTTTATCTTGTTTGAGAGAAGCTTAGCCGGGTCACGCCTGTAATCCCAGCACTTTGGGAGGTTGAGGTGGGTGGATCCCTTGAACCCAGGAACTCAAGACCAGCCTGGGCAACGTGGTGAGACCCCATCTCTACAAAAAATACAAAAACTTAGCCAGCCATGGTGGCGTGCACCTGTAGTCCCAGTTTCTCAGGAGGCTGAGTTGGGAGAAACACCTGAGTCCAGGAAGTCGAGGCTGCAGTGTGCTGTGATCATGCCACTGCATTCCAACCTGGGCGACAGAGACCCTGTCTCGAAAGAAGTTTAAGTGTTGCAAGCCCCCTTCATTATTCCTATAAGAAAGAAAACCAGTTCATTGGTACTGAAATTTTAAACTTTTTATTTTGGCATAATTTAAATGTACAGAAAATTTTTTTTTTTCTTTTTTCTTTTCTTTTGAGACGCAGTCTCGCTCTGTCACCCAGGCTGGAGTGCAGTGGCACAATCCCAACTCACTGCAACCTCCTAGTAGAGACAGGGTTTCACCATGTTGGCCAGGCTGGTCTTGAATTCCTGACCTCACATGATCCACCCACCTCTCAAAGTTCTGGGATTATAGATGTGAGCTCAGCCAAATGTACAGAAATGTTTCAAAGCTAGCACAGATAATTATCAGGCATGCCCTCACCCAGTTCCGGTTTCCCCTAACGTTACCAGCTTACACCACTGTGGCACATTTGTCAAAACTGAGAAACCAACACTGACACATTGTTAGGAACTAAACTCTAGTCTTTATTTGGATTTCACCAGTTTTTCCTTTAATGACCTTTTTCTGTTCCAGGATTCTGCATTGGCTTCCGGATAGTACAACTACTTTTGCAGAATATTTCATGATTAATTTCAGCAAACCATATTTATCTGAAGAGCTTAATTTACTCAAGTTCAATCGTCCCAGACATGCACCCTGGGGCTTTGACTCCAAAATAGCTACAATTGATCCCTTCCTCCCCCTTTGGTGAGGTGGCTTGGGCTTTAGGTGACGCTGAGAATTGTGCATGATCTGGCTTGTAGGAGACTGAATTTCCTGAGAATGATCTAGGGACTCTCAGCATTTTAAAAAATATCCTGTTTTTGTTTTGTTGTTTTCTTTTGAGACAAAGTCTCACTCCGTCGCCCAGGCTGGAGTGCAGCAGCGCAATCTTAGCTCACCACAACTTCTGCCTCCTGGGTTCAAGTGATTATGCTGGCTCAGCCTCCCAAGTAGCTGAGACTACAGGCACCTGCCACCACACCCGGCTAATTTTTTTTTTTCGTTTTTTTAGTAGAGACAGGGTTTCGCTTTGTTGGCCAGGCTGATCTTAAACTCTTGACCTTAAGTGATCAGCCCGCCTTGGCCTCCCTAAGCACTGGGATTGCAGGCACGAGCCACTGCGCCCGGCCAAAATATCCTCTTATTTATAGCTGACTTTGCACATCTGATATTCATGTAGGATAAGATAGCAAGCTGTACTTTTTCTGTTCCTTTTTTTTTTTTTTTTCCATGAAAACAGCCAGGATTTTTGTGGTTCCAAGAGCCAACTGGGTAAAATATAGACCCATTCTGTTTTGGTGAATAAAGGTGATATGAGAAGAAAAAACCTCCAGGAACAGGGGAGGAAGTATGATTATGTTCGCCTCAGAGAACACTGGGAGAGAAATCATTCATCTTCCATTCATTCATCTTCCATTCCCAGACCTTGGAAGAATAGTCACTGTAACGTGGGGGCTAGAAGCATTGGCTTATGAAATCAACAGGCATAGGTAGGTTTTCACCTCCACCACCTAGCTAGGTAACCTTGGACAAGTTGCTTAACCTCTTTGAGCCTCAGTTTCCTTGTCTCCAAAATGAGAGCTGAGCTTTGAATAAGATCATGTATTTAACACAGCACATGAAATAGAGAAAACACATATCTGTTACCTATTATTATTTCCAAAGACAGTCCACCCTAATTACCAACAGGCATTCCCAAACTCTTCTTAGTCTATCATTAATCTCATCCTTTCTTCCATCTTTAGATATTTGGTAGCCAAGGGCTGGGCACAGTGGCTCACATCTGTAATCCCAGCACTTTGGGAGGCCAAGGCGGGTGAATTACTTGAGGTCAGGAGTTGGAGACCAGCCTGGCCAACATGGTGAAACCCCGTCTCTACTAAAAATACAAAAATTAATTGGGCATGGTGTCATGCATCTGTAATCCCAGCTATTCGGGAGACTGAGTTAGGAGAATCGTTTGAACCTGAGGAGGTAGAGGTTGCAGTAAACTGAGATCGAGCCACTGCACTCCAGCCTGGGCAACAGAATGAGTGAGACTCTGTCTAAAAAATAAAAATAAAAATAAAAGGAATTTGGTAGGAAAGAAGTTTGAGAGTTCCCAGAGGTCTACGTGAAACAGTAGGGTACTCACATCTTCAAAATATGTCTAAGTATGTATAAAAGTTGATCACTGGTCACAAGCAGAAATGGGGTCCACAAAGCAGGAAAAATGTCACAGCGATGGACCTTGGATAAGCTTTCTCCAGTTTCTCCCTCCTCCGAACTGGAAACAAAATACCCATCTGACCAATAGTGGGCTGGACCTAGTTACAGGCTGCCAAGTATCTGCCCTGTTAGTGTGACCTGGAACAAAATTCCCAGCAGAGGACAGCAAACATTTGCTGAGCACAGACCTGTGACCCTACTACATGAGATTCTAGGGGCAGTGTTTGAATTACGCCATAACTGGGGGTTGGTGGCTTATGGGGAAGTGCTCTATACTAAACGAAGTGTGTGAGGCAGTCAGGCCCGAGAAAGAAGAGGTTGGCATCTGCAATTTGAAAATGTGACTCTGCTGTTTTATTTTTATTTTCAGAGACACTGTCTTGTTCTGTTGCCTGGGCTGGAGTGCAATGGTGCAATCATAGTTCACTATAACCTCAAACTCCTGGGCTCAAGTGACCCTCCCGCCTCAACCTTCTAAGCACACTGCCATGCCCAGCTAATTAAAAACAAGTTTTTTTTGTTTTGTTTTTGTTTTGTTTTTGTTTTTGGTAGAGATGCAAGTCTTGCTATGTTGCCCTGGTTGGTCATGATTTCCTGGTCCCTAGTGATCCTCCTGCCTCAGCCTCCCAAGCACACCACCAGACCTAGCTAATTTTTTTCTTCTTTAGTTATTATTTAGCTCTCTTTATAACTGGCTTATTTTTATTATTTTTTGTAGAGAAGGGGTCTTGTTATGTTAGCCTGCCTGGTCTTAAAATGTAACTCTGTTGTTTTATACAAAACACTTATCTTTTTCCATTTGAAAACAAGTCAGCATAAAATTCCAGACTTATAGACTATAGTATAGTCCTTAGGACCCATAATGTGTCTCTAAGAACTATTTGCCAATGTCTGTACTTTCAGTGATCTGTAACCTCTAGGAGTAGTGGAGAGGTTAAGCAACTTGTCCAGGGTTACCCAGCTAGGATGTGGTGGAACTGAAAACCGACCTTTGCCTGTCTATATTTCATAAGCCAATGTTTCTAGCCCCCACGTTACAGTGACTGTTCTTATAAGGTCTGGGAATGGAAGATGAATGGTTTATCCCCCAGTTTTCTCTGAGGCAAACATAATTATACTTCTTCCTTTGTTCTTGGAGGTTTTTCTCTTCTCATATCCCCTCCATTCACCAAAACAGAGTTGGGTCTATATTTTACCCAGCTGGCTCTTGGAACTGCATAAATCCTGGCTGTTTTCACTTTTTAAAAATTATGAGATTAACTACCAAACTTGAGCTGTAAGTTGTGGGTTAGCTCTTTACTCTGCTAGATAACCCAGAACAAAGTATTAACTTCTTTGAGAGCTTCCTTTTTTTCCCTTCATTGCCGTTGTGCATTTCTACCGGAAAATGTGGGAATGTGTGTGAAGGCGACCTAGCAGAGTGCCTGGCACACAGGAAGGAGCTTGTTGAATTTATAGTTCCGGGCTCCAGAACAAGGGCGGCCCATCTTAGCCTGAGCCACTCTGACTTCGCTTTAGGAAATACTGCCTAGATATCTAAAGGAAAGTGATAGCAACTGCAACCAACTGTTTTTGAGGTCTGCCTGCCCACCAGTGGCCCCCTCAGCACATGGGAACAGTGTGTGGAGGTGCCTGGAACAGACACTGACTCAAGGGAGGTCTGTACAGAGGCAGTGTGGGTAAAGAAATGAATGCAGATTCCCCAAAAATCCAGAGGCATATGCAAGAGGAGGGGCACGGGTTCTTTCGAGTCACCTTCCAGGTGACCAGGTGCATTTACAACTCTAAGGCTCTGTGAGTATGTTTTTTTCTTACCTTATGGAATAAAGGGGTAAAGAAGACAGCTGCCCTGGGTATGGCTTTGGGTCAGAATAAACATTTCTCAAATTGAAGTGTTTCAGTAATGTCTTGAGAAATCGGATTTGTTCAGGCTTGCTGGAAGTGCATTATTTGATTCTAAGTTTCACTTAAAAGTCTTGGGGAAGGCCAGGTATGGTGGCTCATGCCTGTAATCCCAGTACTTGAGAGGCCAAGGCAGGCAGATCGCTTGAACCTGGGCATTCCAGCCCAGCCTAGGCAACATGGTGAAACCCCGTCTTTACAAAAAATACAAAAGTCAGCTGGGCGTGGTGACAAATGCCTATAGTCCCAGCTACCGGGGAGGTTGGGGTGGGAAGAGGGAGGATGACTTGAGCCCAGGAGGTTGAGACTGCAGTGAGCCAATATTGTACCACTGCACTCCAGCCTGAGCAACAGAGCAAGATGCTGTCTGAACAAAACAAAACAAAAAGTCTTGGGAAAAATCACTGACAACACAGTTTTCTTTTTTTCTTTTCTTTTCTTTTTTTTTTTTTTTTTTTTTTTTTTTTTTTTTTTTTTTTTTTTTTGCTCTCTGGCTCAGGCTGGAGTGTGGTGGTGTGATCTCAGCTCATTACAACCTCCGTCCCCCGAGTTCAAGTGAATCTCCTGCCTCAGCCTCCCTAGTAGCTGGGATTACAGGTGCACGCCACCACGCCCAGCTAATTTTTGTATTTTTTTAGAGATGGGGTTTCACCAGGCTGGTCTCAAATTCCTGATCTCAGGTGATCTGCCTGCCTTGGCCCCTCAGCGTGCTAGGATTACAGGGGTGAGCCACCGCGCCCAACCGAAAACACAGCTTTCTAAAGGGATTCCTCTGGCCTGGTGCAGTGGCTCAC